TTTTGTGAAATTTGATGCTGTACTTGTGGTTGCTCGTTTGGTTTTCTCATTCATTTGTTTTCCAATTCAGGTAGATCGCCTTGTTGGAAGAGACCATCTCTTTAAACGTAGCATTATTCTGATTAAGACTTGGTGCTATTATGAGAGTCGTATCCTTGGTGCTCACCATGGTTTAATTTCTACATATGCTTTGGAGATACTTGTCCTGTACATATTCCATCATTTTCATTCATCGCTAACTGGCCCTTTATCTGTAAGTACTCCCGACCTGAATATTGGCAGTCTTAAATTATATGAAAATGAATATGTTTAGCAGTTTTAAACAAAATGAAAATGAACATGTTGAACAGTTGGTTATATTTTTTCTGCGTAGGCACTCTACAAATTTTTGGATTACTACAGCCAATTTGATTGGGAAAATTATTGCATCTGTTTGAAAGGTCCAGTTTGTAAATCCTCCCTACCTGATATTGTTGGTGAGCAGTTTTTTTTAATAACATCATGATTCTTTGTCTTTACTATCAAAATGAAATTTCTAGTCGTCACACGTGTTTATTTGCTCGTAAAAGATCTGTTTGCTTATTGACTTCTCATTCTCTTATTTTCTTTCAGTGAAGATGCCTGAAGGTGGGTGTAATCATCTGCTGCTTAGTGAAGAATTTCTTAAGAACTGCTTGGAATTGTTCTCAGTTCCTTCTAGGGGGATCGAGGAGAACTCACGAGCGTTTAAACCAAAACATCTTAATATAATTGATCCACTAAAGGAAAATAATAACCTTGGGCGCAGTGTGCACAGAGGTGAGGGAAATTATTTGATGATTTATCCTGTTTGAATGGCATTAAGCACTGTACTTTGAGAAATTACTGAGCTGATTGGTCTACTGGGTGAGACCAAAACAACACTTTTTATGCTCCTCTTATTTGTATTGGCTCTTCTGTTTGGTAACATCTTCAATCATGCCATTAGTGCAACAGTTGTTTCTTTCTTAGCTTAATCTTGAAATGGTTTTTTGCAAGAATATATATGCAGTTATCTTACTATTTTTTGGTTTGGAATTGTTAAATGCCTTCTTTAGTAGTGAATTAATTGAAGATTCATCAAACTTTCCACTTCCTTTCAACTTTATGAAATATAAATGCTTTAGAAATATCATAAAATCGGCACCAGTTGCTGCACTGTCAGTTGTCACTGACTCTCTGCGAAAGATCCTAGATTTGCTATAAACAATGTTTTGTGATATATTTTTTTTACCATCTCTACAAATTCTGTAAGGGGGAACGCCATTGCATGTGAAATATGTGAAATTGTTTATAGATTATGTATAGGTATGGATTATACGGTGTTTGTACCAGTAAAGGAAATTTTACTCAAATTACCAGTCCTTACCTATCTTCTCTTTATTACTAGGTAATTTCTACCGCATACGGAGTGCATTCAAGTTTGGGGTTAATAAGCTCGGTCAAGTTCTTTTACGATCAAGAGATGAAGTTGCTGACGAGATCTACAAATTTTTCAAAAATACCCGTTCTAGGCATGAACGTCAGTACAAAAGTAGCCTTAGGCATTTGGCCTTCGATTTTGGGGATGAAGAGTCTTTCACCGAGTCTTTATCTTCCCAAGTTGAATTATTCTCCGAGGACGATGACATGCTTCTAAAGTCATCCGCCAGTGATTTTGATAACATAAGTGTTAGCACAGAACATATTCCCAATATGGATTTGAGGAATGGGGTGATAGATAGACACTCAGCAGGAGAAGTTTCCCCCAAAATGGCATCTGAGGTTTGTTACTCTGCAGATGACATTTTTGTTTCGGGATATTGTCTTTTGGGGGCCAAACATGTCCTTGCTACATCCAACTCAAGTAGCAATTACAGTGCGTCTCTTTCAGATAACCATATTCCCAATCCACATTCAACCAAATCCTCTACTGAAAATGGAAGCTCAGAGGCTCAACAGTCTGATTTACCATCGACTGATTCGGACAAATTTGGCTCCATTTCTTGGTCGGACTACAGAAACCAACTCATGGAGATGAAAACTACTTACCGATGGTGTGTGGACAATTCTGAGGCTGTCTGCTTGAAGGGCAGTGTTTTGGAAGATATGTATTTGGATTTTAGAGAAATGGACTCTGCAAGCATTGGAGGGGACTCGGAGGCTTTCAATCCTCTGGCCGACCTCAGCGGAGATTATGAAGGCAATATTAGAAGTTTGCTACGCGGCCAATTTTGCCATGGGTTTTCTGTGTCCTCGAGCGCCAAGAGCCACCACCCGCCTTCTCCCACAATCCAAAATAGAAAACCTTGGGATGTTGTTCGTCAATCGATGCCTCTTCAAGTGGACTGTAATAGTAATAATAATAATAACAATAATTTCTCTCAGATGAGTTACCAAATGGTATCAACTGGTCACACTCTGTACTCCGGTCCTCATTCTCGCTTGTCGGGCAATGCTTTCCATTTCGATGGGAAACAGAAGGCTCGAGGAACTGGAACCTACTTTCCGCATATGGTACTGTCTTTCTCATTTTTTTTTTTTTTTTGGTTATGCTACTTAGTTTGGGGTGTGAATAATGATATCTTCTTTTACGTGATGCAGAATGTAGTCTGCATGGAAAGATCTTCATACGGGAGGGGCAAGAACAAGGCACCGGGCAATGAGAATCACTTCCACAGGTATGGTCATGCCAATGGTAATATATATCCAGCTGGCGAGACAAAGTCTTTTGAAAACGGTGGTTATGAAGTTTTCCCTGCAAGGAAAAAATATTATGGGCGAAAGAGGAAATCGGATGTACGGTCCCAATCTAGTTATTCGGTAAAAGGTGGGAATCAAGACAACGGCTGTTTGAGCGCGTTGTGCAGAATCAAGTTTGGATCTCTTGGGAATTTGGGCGAAGAAGTGATTTCACGTTCAGCTCACATTGGTGGCTCGACGGTGGATGCATCCCTTAGACCACAGGGTTCACCAGCAGTTTTGATTCGACAAAGGTACATCAACTTTTATGCATAAATCACAGAGAATAAATTACTCCCATGGTTTACCTTTTATACAAAATATCCATTAATCTTTTAAAATTCCACACAAGCAGCCCTTGCGTGTGTTTGGTTTACGAATATCCCCTTCAAAGAGGTTGAACTTGAGCAATATAAAATTCCAAAACAACTTTCATTACTCTCTCTGAGGTCATATATGATATCCACAGGGTTGCAGGACAGTCAATTCGTCTTAAGAACGAAGATGAATTCCCTCCACTGTGCCAATAGAAGGAACTGAATGCATTAGAAAAAGGATAATCAAGTTGTACAAAAGAGTGAACGGGCATCATACATGAATATAGGCGCTAACAGGTTCCGGGACGTCATTAGGTAAAAATCGCATTTGGCTTTGCTATCAGTTTTTACAGGGCTCGAGTACCCTTTTCGTCCTGTTGTGACTGATACAGAACGATACAGTGGTAGAAATAGCTGGTTAGTGTGTTTCGGTATGGATATTTAGAATCGATACACCAAAGCGGTTAAAAAATCTAATCGGTCGGTTCATCTTGGTAGATGGCTAATGCGCCGTTTGATGGTGAACCTCGCCGCCTTTAACTTCTCTGACTCCTGTTTTGGCTTGTCGATGATGGGAATTTGGAATGTTCTTGTTTTTTTTTTTTTTTT